ACCACTAGTTTGCCTAAATGTCAACTAATGACAGACCTTTGTCAATCTGTTTTGCTATAACAAAATACTGTGAAGTGGACAGTTTCTTGTGGAAGATCTGTTGTCTGACAAGGTTTATTTGTAGGTTTGTAGTGTCGTCTTATGTGTACAGCTGATGAAAAGAGAAACAACAGTGTAATGTGAGGTTTTCTCTGACCTGGCTTGGTCCCACTGCCCTTCTCTACACCAAAACACATGTGAATGCCATATTAGTTATAAATACTGCTGACCTTTGACTAAAGTTTCTTATTTACTAGTTCAGTCTTAATTATTAACCCATTTCTAGTAATGTAAGTATTTTCACATGGCCTTATCTTACCAGAGAAAAGGTCCAAGCCTCTTACTCCCTTGGAGTCTACATTGTGTCTGCTCAGCATCTCTACAGAGAAGGGAAGAGAAGAGAGAGCAATTCCCTGCTTGTCCCTGCTTATATATTGGTTCTGCCCTCCTATGTTACTTCCTACCTGGATCACATGGTGGCTTCTCTTTACTACATTTCTCGACTCCCAGTCCTACCTATCTAGCTTCCCTATTGGCCAACAGTGCTTTATTTATCAACCAATAAAACAAACGTATATAAAGAAGAACATTCCCCATCACAACAGGCTCCCCAGGTCTCTTTTATTACATTGCAACCTATTCCCAACCTCTAACCCTAACACATTAGGGTTCTATCACAATCCTACCCATGAATCTAGGTAAGATATAAACACATGTTCTTAGACTCCCCCCAATCTACTGAAGCCCAAATGCTTCTTATATACAACATGTATCCATTGCATCTCAACAATTCTAACTCACATCAACTCTAATGCTGAATTCAGCTTCTCTTTGATTTATCCCCTCAACAGGACATGAATAACACAAGAGGCACAATTCATGTAATACACACTTTACCTTCGGTGGTGAGCCTGTGAAATGAAACAAGTAATGTAACATCAAGCACAGGATCAATGTTCCCATTCCAAAGAAGAGAAAAGGAGACAAAAGCAGGGATAGCTATTTCTAAGCAAACTCCCAACTAGTAGAGTAAACCCGATAAGACTGTAAAGCTGGAGAATAATCCTCTTGGTTCAGTGTCCTGCCTTCTAGGCCTATTATCATAGCACTCTCTGTACTTTGACTGATCCTTGCTCACAGTACAGCTTTCTGCAGAAGGTTACCATTGTCAGTTTTCTGTTCTTATCATTCTGACCCTGAATTACCAAACCCCCACCAAGGGACTCAAATCTAGAAACTGTCTTTATCATAGATGGACCCTTGGTTGGTCAGTCTAAGGTGTTATATTTGAAAAAACAAAAAATGAGATAAGTAGGAAATTGGTCCTTCTAGAACCCCTGGCCTATTATATTGTTGTGTGAAGCCGAGTACAAGAAACTTATATGTCTTTAATCTAGAAGTAGCTCTTGGTGAGAATACATTACTACTATAATGTATTACTTCTGATACATAAGGGGTACATGTCTTTGCCTTTTCATCTTTGCATAAACTACAGTTCTGGGCAATTTTACACAAATTAGGAAACAGATAAACAGTTAATTCCCCCTCTCCTCACTGAGTATTCACTCTGTGTGTGCATACATGTATGTGTCTGCATGTGTATAAATGTTTGTGTACTCCAATGCATGATCACATGGAGGTTGGGAGTCTACATTGGATTCATTTTTATACTGTTCTCCACCTTGTCTTTTAAACCAAATTCATTATTAGGTTTTGATAATATCATAAGATGCACGGTGATCACACTCGCCCTCCGCTGTCCTCTTAAAACCATCCTGCTGAGCCACTTCCTTTTCCCCCTCCTGTGCCTGTGTCATAGCAACAAAGGACCTAAGGTCTGTGGGTTTGCGGGGAGAAGCCTAAAGAAGGGAGCAGTAGAACACATCTAATACAAGAGCACAAGAAGGGGACCAAGGGGAAGGAGATTCTTAAAGGCAGATGGTCATAAAGAGTAGGGGAAGGATAAAGATGTGGAAGAGAGTCAACCAAAGTCAAAGACATGTTTTTAAAGGGCCACATAGAAATGACTTTATAAGCTAACTCTTCCTGGGTGAGATGGACTCTCAAAGCAGTTTTAATTTACACTTCCGTGGTGGTGGCTGAGGATGTTGAGCACTTAAAAAAATGTTTAGCATCTGATTTTACTTCTTCTGTTGAAAACAGTGTTCAGTCCTGTAGACTATCTTTTTGTTGAAGTATTGGTTGTTATGATATTTGGATTTGGAGTTGTTTGTGTATCTTATATATCAATTCTCTGTCAGACATACAGCTAACAAAGATTTTCCTTTCCTCTGTAGATGGCCTTACAACTCAGTTGACCATTTCCTTTGCTACACAAACCCCTTCTAATTCTACAATGCACCATTTTATCCATTGTTGGCCACATTTCCTGAGCAAGCAGAGTTCCATTCCAAAATTCCTTACTTCCACCCATGTCTCATGGTGTACATTCTCCTTTTGTCTTTAGCAGTTGCAGAACAACTTAAAATTTAAAAACTTCATCTTAAAATCCACACGGTGACACAAAAGATCCCAAGTGGAAAAATCATCCCTGTGTAAGAGGACCATTGCTGGACTCTGAACCAAGCATGTCATACAAATCACACAACAGAGACACAGTCATAAAATCAGCATGGCACAGGACAAAATCAGACTCAGAGATCAGTGGAACAGAAGACTCAGATATGAGTCTATATAACAACAGACACCTGTGGGTTTTTTTCTTCCTTTCTGTTTTTAAAAGATGCCAAAAATACACATTAAAGAAAGAACAGTATCTTCAATAAATGGCACTGGAAAAGTCAGGTACCTACATGCAGAAGAATGAACTAATCAACAGCTCTCACGCTCCATAAAACTTAGCTCTGTGGAATAGCTTCGAATCTGATATAGCAGCCTAGCATTGCTCTTTTTGCTCAGGATAGCATTGCATATCCAGGTTCTTTTGTATTCCATAATATGAATTTTAGGATTTTTTTCTATTTCTGTGAAAATGTCATGAGAATTTTGATTAAGATTGCATTGACTCTGTAAATTATACTTGGTAGTATGGTCATTTTCATGAGTTTTGAATTTTTCATTGTAGAGTCTTTCACTTCCTTTGTTGGATTTATTATGATTATATATATATATATATATATATATATATATATGCACTATTGTGAATGCAACTGTCTACCGGTTTTATTTCTCAGGGTGTTAGGTTACTAGCATTTATATGTTATTTTGTGACCTGTCAATTGTCGGAGTCATCTGTCTACCTTAGTTCTTGAGACAGGATCTTTCACTGAGCTTAGGGTTACCATTTTGGCTTGACTGGCTGGCCAGCAAGCCCTTGGTTCTGGGGTGGTAGGGCAATTGTCTCTCCCACTTCTAGTTCTGGGATGACAGGGGAATACCACTATGACCCAGCTTTTACATGGATCCTGGGAATCCAAACAAGTCTTCATGATCCTTTATCTAGTACTTTACATATGGAGCCAACTCCAGAGTCCCTGGCCCCTTGTTTCAGTGGTATTGGGGAACTAATTCATGACCCTGTGCATGCTGAGTAAATGCTCTACAACTGAGCTCCACCCTAGTCCTTCATTATGCATTCGCATCATGGCATTTAGTGAAATTATAAATATTCACTAGAAAATACTAACTTACCAATGACAAAGTCCAATTGATGCAATTTTCTCTTCCCCATGGAGACTACTAGTAGAAATGCCATATTAAGATTTACATGAATGATAATTCCAACTTTTTTATAGTGAAATTATTATCTTCTGAAATATACTCTTGCATGAATACTAATTGTGTGAATTACAGGTTTCCTTTAATAGACTCTTCCATACATTAGAAAATCGAGTCTAAAAAAACTACTACATATAATTAAACTGTGGTCAAAATATACCATGCATTCAATTTCATAATAGCTTAACTTAGGGGCATGCTCCTTGAAGGCATGATCTACATATTTTATTTATTTTTAAACCTGCTTGAATCCTGGTCATGTAAGGAAAGTGCCTTAAACAAAACTAAATAATGATAAATGAATCTAAAGAATATGCTCCCTTAAAATGATTTAAATTCAATATACTGAATAAATTCAACCTCAACAATTCAAAATTTAGCTTCTTTGTAATTGGTCCAAATTCCCTAAGGTTTTAAGTATATTTGAATTATTCTGTGATGAACTTGATTACTTGAGATTAAAGAGCTAGATTGGTAACCTCATTGTAATACATTACAATGATCTGGGCTCTACACATCATATAAAAATGAAAGAATAAGGAAATTGAGAAAACATATGATTACAGAAGAATAAACTGGAACAGGCTTACCAGAAAATGTTAAAATATTTTGCTGGATTTGGGCTTTGTAAAATTCTTAAATATGTTTGGCCTAACACATTTCCCTTTAATTCCCTTAATATGCCCTGTGGATTTCCACAGAAATTTGAACCATATGTTTCAGATTCGTTTATACTTAACTCATCAACATGTTTGGGGAGAACAATGTGAAGCCCAAAAGCCTCATGAATGCTTTTTGTGGGCTCTTTTATTTTACTTGGTAAACAACTGGAACCTGAACCCAGAAACCCTGGGTCTTCATTTAATGCTCAAATTGCACCAAGGGCAAGGGAGCTATGAACGGGATGGGGCACACTCTGCCTTGGACGATGCCTCGCTCCAAATCTTGCAGCTGGGAGGAATTATTTTGATAGTTCGCTCCATTCTTGTCACTTTCATTTTGGAGGACATAAGGAAGTCTTTGATGGTGCAGCACTCGTGGTGTCCCTGCTCAGGGATGTCCTGTCAGCCCTATTTGTTTTTGCTCTTTGAGAATAACGCTGTACCTGCTGCAAGCTTGCTCCGCAATAAAGAGAATTAAGCAAAGCCATTCAAAAACCTTGCTCATGCCATACCCACTACAGTTTGTTTGCGTGTGCAGACAGAAGGAAACAGAGACAAAAATTACTACTTGGTTTTCTTTAGTGTCTGTTCGAATGAGTAGAAAATTATTTAATGGCTGATTTTACAAGTTGATTATTCTCATCTGTCTCCACATCTTTGATATAGCAGGGGACCCATCTATTTCCTTTCTGTCAGCTTAGGGGAACGTACCCTAAGATTCATGTCTAGGTGGTTAACGGCTCGGCATGAGGAACACTGGCTGTTTGTTTTCCGCCACCTATCATTCTGCAAAGCTTTAGTCTTCTCATTAGGATGGCTGGCATCTCAGTGTTTGAGCAATTAGCACCCCAGTCTCTGCTTCTTCCTTCTGGACACTGGACATTCCACGGGAGTTGTAGATCTGCTTCCCCGTGAATTTAATTGGCAAACATCCTTGAACTCTGTAAAACACGGCAGAGAATCTGTTCATAGTGGCACCTGCTTGTCTTCTGCCAGTCCCCACTACCTATTACTGAACTCATTCCCTCCCTCTTACTTCTAAAAAAATCCTTTGGAAACAAGATCTGGGGTCTGAAAGCATTCCTTTCCTCCTGCTTCCCATTGCAAATTAGAGGTAGAAGCCCTCTGGCTTAGTTATAGATGTGATTTCTGTGTAAGGGATGAAAAAACAGGATTAGCAGACTAAATGAGAAGAATCCAAAAGAGACATCTCTCTGTCATCATCTCCCCCAGGAATTAAAGAGAGATGAACCAGATATGTGTGCTATTTAGAGGGATAAAGGAAAAAGGGAAGAGAGAAAGAACGAACGAATGAAAGAATGAAAGGAGAGACAGCGCCATTTTTCAATCCACAGCATAAAAGTCTGCCTTCTGAGTTTTTCACAAACGGAGGTCCTGATCATTTCTTTTATCAAAGAAGAGTGGGAAATGCAGAGGGTCGACGGGGCTGTGTGTGTGATTCCAGTGAGGGAGCCTGAAGGAATGGGGCCTGAGCACCTCATTTAGTGAACATTCCTGACCCAAGGTGTTGCAGAAAATAAGGCACCAGGGATGGGAATATATTTCCCTCCACTTATAACCATTAAGGACTTTTATTTCCCTGTGTCCATAAATCATTCTGCCCTATTAAAATAAAATTCTGTGCGTCCCCACTCCATAGTGGAAATAAGAGTGTTCTGGAACATCAAGAAGTTAGCGGTTTCAGATTTGTCTTTTAAACATTATTTTAAAGATATATTGTATAATATGATTACCACACTTCACTGCACAGGTATATATTATACACATGACACACATATAGTAGGAGGATGGCTCCGGAAACATTTTGGTTGTTATTGGTTTTGTTTTACTGAAGAGATAAAGGATCAGAGTATGTTTGGGGCCCATCCAAAGACTTTTCAAAAGATAGCATTGGCCTCCAACCCCGGAACTGGGACACAGACCTGTTACCACTCAGCTGGTTCCTATGGCAGAACTTGTTTTGGTCTCTGATTCTCTTTCTTTTTTTTTTTCTTTTATTGAAGTGCTGGGAATTAAATCCAGGGCTTCATGTATATTGAGTAGACACTCTGCTCCTGATTTATTTTTACAGATGCACTTTTTTATATATTGAGATTAAAGTAGATATTGTCTGAAGCCCATCACAAGAATACCAATTAGGTTTTTAATGCACGCTTGGCAATAAAAATTGCAGCTTTGGGGCTAAGAAGATAGCCCAGTCAGTCAAGTCCTTGCCATGCAAGCATGAAAACCTGACTACGATTCTTTGAACCCATGTGTAAGGGCCGTGGGGTGCCACACACTTATAATCCCAGTGCTAGGAGTTGGAGACCAGCAGATTCCCGGGGTCACTAGCCAACCAGCTTGAGTCTACATGGAGAGTTCCAGATCAAAGAGATATCATGTCTCAGTAAACAAGAGGTATGGCACCTGAGAAATGAAACATGAGGTGGATCTCTAGTAAATATACACATGTGGACCTGCACACATACAAACCTACACACACACACACACACACATATATGTATGCACATATACATATATACTCATAACACATTCATCTGAAGCCATACACAAAATATACATACAAACATGGACATACATACTCACATACATGCATATACATGTACATACTAAGTATATACACACTTACACAAACATACACACATGCACTCACATAATACACACATATACATACATATGCACACATAAACACATTAATGAATACACACAGACATAAATGCATACACACACACACAAAAATAAATTTCATTTCCACAGTTATGGACAACTGTACAAGTCATGAGGATGAAGACAAAGAGCAATGGAAATCATATTCTATTTCTTTTTTTTCTTTTTATACATTTTAGTGTGTGTGAGTGTGTGTGTGTGTGAGAGTGTGTGTGTGTGTGTGTGTGTGTGCTGGTATGACTTCCCCCAGAGGCCACAAGAGGGCACAGGTACCCTGTTATTACTGGTGGCTATGTGCAGCCTGACTTGGGTCCAAGGAACCTTTCTTTAGTCCTTTGCAAGTGCAGGGAGCGCTTAACTGTGACAGCATCACTCTCCAATGAGGCCACCAGGAGCAGTAGCCATTTTACTGTAAAGGGCATGGACACAGATTCCAAATCCCTCGGGATTTTCCTGGCTGGCGGCGACATGCACTGAGGGGAGGAAAAGGTCTTCATGTAATAAGAATTGGGGTGCAAACAGTGCTGCGGAAGATGAAGTGAAAAGTTACCGTGGTGAGAGTCAGGCCTGTTGAGCGTTCTTCTAATCTTTCCTTGGTTACATCGTCATACTTCTACAGGAAACTTTTTAGATGTTGTAGCTTATGTGAGTTAGAGGCCACCCTGGTCTACAGAGTAAGTTCCAGGACAGCTAAGACTACACAAAGAAATCCTGTCTCAAACACAAAAACAAAACAAAAGAATCTGACTTCTTTTTCTTCTTTCTCTTTCTTTCTTTGAGTGCATGCTCACAGTGGTGAATGTGCAAGTGTATACGCATGTGTGTGTGTGTATGTGTATGTGTGTGCGTGCATGCACATGTATGTGTTTTTGTGAGTATGCATGTGGGTGTGCTTGTGTGTGTGCACACATGCATATGTGTGTGTGCTTGTGTGTATGTGTGTGTGTGTGCATGCATGCATGTGTATGTGGTGGCCTCTCACTAGACAGACACTTGCCAAATAGACTATCATGACCAGCCAGTGAGTGAGCCTGGGGATCTGTCTGTCCTTTCCAAGCACTGGGATTACAAGCTGATAACCATCCTGACTTTGTAAGTGGGTTCTGGATATCTAGCTCAGGTCTGTATTTGGGGACACAAAGATGGGGCTTTGTGATGGATTCTTAAATCCACAAAACTGATCAGGTTCTGAATGATAATACCATCACTTAATTAAAAAAGTAGAGCATCATTCATTTTTCACAAAACCAAGAGATGTCTGTACCTTATCTAACTTCCCATAATTTTGATGTTTTGGTGATCAAAGGCAACATTTCACTCATTTTAGGCCCTCTAAAGTTCAAGTAGAGTTTATCAGAGTCTCTAAACACGCCCTGAACGCAGACATGAGGGATGGAGGGAATAGCAACACAGAGAACAAGCTAACCCAAATCTAGATGCTCCTTTTGGAAAGTTCACTGCACACTGATTTTGACCCTCACTTGTGTGCAGTGTTGTTCAAGATGAACCCTGTGGACCCATCCAAGCCTCTAAAATCTTTCATCAGTTACAAACACACCAAGAGATCTGTAAGACCCAAGCTTTCCCTTTCCTTCTGATGTTTGTTTAGAACACTATTTGTATCCCGAAGTCACAGCAATTTGACAGTAGAGGGTTTACCATAGTAATGAATATTAGGGACTATCCAGAAATCACAACTAATATTAGCCACAATGTATTAAGCACTTTTGACATTCAGCATTTTATAGATTTATAATGATATAGTACATTTAGTGCTCTCACTTGTCCCTATTTATTAGGTACTATTATTTGGTTCATTTCATAGGTAAGGAAACAGAAACTCAAGAAGGGTAATTTGCTCACTCACAGCTACACAATTAGTAAGTGGAAGGGCTAAGTTTGAAGTCTGAGCATTGTGGTGCTAAGTCCACAGGCTTGGCAATGGAACTAACCAGCCTGTAAAAAAAAGTGATGGAAATCAAAGTTCTGGGTTTGGAGAGAAAGCTCCATGATTAAAGAACTTTCTGTACAATCAGCAAGTAGAAGATTGGAGTTAGATCTCAAGGAAGGAGTGGTGGTCCACACCGTGGGAAATTCCAGCATGTGAAGATGGGGGTAGGGGGGAGATAGCCTGGAGCAAGCTCTCCATCTAGACAAATCATATAGATCATCTCCGGGTTCAGTTGAGAGACCTCAATAAGGTGGAGAGAAATCCAGGAAGACTCGTGACACCAGCCATGCATATCCTCACACACATGCTCATACCTGCTCACACACACACACACGCACATATATGCGCGCACATGCACAAACACACATGGACACATGTGCATACCTGTAAACACACACGTATACTCACACACACATACATATACATACAGCTGCAAACACACACACTCACACCTACAAACACACACACATACTCACACACAGCTGCAAACACATGCACATACACACTCACACCTACAAATATGAACACACACATACTCACACACAGCTGCAAACGCGCACGTGCGCACACACACACAGACACATGTGCACACCTGCAAACACACACACATATACACACATACACACACAGCTGCAAACACACACACTCACATCTACAAACACACACACATACTCACACACAGCTACAAACACCTGCAAACACACAGAGATACACTCTCACAACTGTAAACACACATTTACACACTCACACCACACACCTGTAAACATACATGCACACACCCCACACACACACACTCACACCACACACCTGTAAACATACATGCAATAATACCACACACACTCACACCTGCAAACACACACACTCACACCTGCAAACACACATACATGCACGTACACACCCTCCCTCACACGCATATTCACACCTACAAGCACACACACTCCATGCACAAAGACATGAGAAAAACAAAAGGAGGATCATCTCTGGAGAGTTCAAAGGAGAAAAAGACCCTCATGCTGCCATTAAAAAGATTTCTGGGAAGTGAATGAGATGCTTGTACAGCCGTGAGCTACTGGGAATCTGAGAACCTTTTCTCCTGAACCACCATTGCTCAGCAGTGCTTATCCCTGCACTTCAGGCATAATGGTACCTCTTGGAGTCAGCGTCATCCCTAGTACATCCCAGCACAAACTGGCACTCCGAGAATTTGAAGTTTCAATGCAAGTGAATAGAATTTAACGTGCCCTGGGCAAGCTGAGGATTTCATGTGATACCTAAAAGACAAACTACCATTTGTGAGAA